TAATGCAGAATAATTGACTACATATGTCTGTAAACATGTTCTGTTAGGTTGCTATGAGACTTTTTAGTCTTGGAGGACAAGAAGATGACTGTAAGACTGCCTTAAAGCTTTTGTCCTGGAGACATAGGGTCAGTAGTAATTTGAACATTTGTGGGGTAATTAACTCTTTGTTCCAAAAATTACAAAGATCGATCTTTTTTTTAATTTAAGTAAAAATAGATCACGGGAGGATGAAGTAATTGTTTAAAATTTGCTTTTAATCAAATACTGCTTTTTCCATAATGTTTTTAATCTCTTCAGATTTACCTTATTAGGCAACACTTCTAATGTGTTTATTCACTTGCTTAATGTGCATTTAATCTCTTTCCTGAGTTTTGGGGATGGAGAGATGAGAAGAATCATCCTTTTTTTCACATAGCCCTATTTGCCATATTGCTTCCCTCACCGCTTGGAAAAGGGCACCAACCTGTTCAGATGGCTGGGACTAGGGATGTTTATAAAGCCGGGCAGGTTAATTGAAATGGACACCAGCGTAACGTCTTTCTTCAGAGGCTGACGCACCTGGTTTCAGATAACGTAGAGGTACCGCTTTCACCTGGAGTGACAAGTCAGCTTGCGGAGTTTCTGTGAGCTTGTTTTGAGCTGCGTGGCTGACGCAAGTAATAGGAGAAGAGTACATTTTATGAAATGTTTCTTCATTGGTACGGAAATGAAATACGGAAAGACAAAGTACCTCCGAGTTATTTGTCCGCTTGAGTCAGATTTCAGCTGAGTGAATGGTTTGGAAAAGATGATGTGAATGGCTGTTTATCAAAATTGACTTCCTTTTCACATTTTGAAAAAAATGTGAAAAATAAAAAATGTGAAATAACTAAAAATATATAGGCTTAATGCCTTTAATTTTTCAGTGTTTAAATAATTTATATTTGTTTTAGTAATGATTTTCATATTGAATAAATATAGGAGGTTAAAGCCACGCCATATGATTTTTAATGTTTGAGGAAATGAATAAATATGTTTTATTCTAATGATGTACCTTTTTGTCTTAAAAGGCTAGATTTTATTAAAGAAAAAAACCAACAACCCAACCCTTGAAACTCTATCCAAGGCTTGTTTTCCCATCTAATGAACAATAAAGTCCTTTAGGTTTTGCTTTTAAGAAGCGATCAGTACTGTTGTTGTACATGTAAAATCAAAACCATTCCTGAGTAATGAATCTCATTCAGTGACAATTACCTGGTTCTTTCTTTGTGGTTTTAAGCCATAGTGCTTCAGGATTATGTCTTTAATCCTCAAAGTCCAAATTAGGTGCTTCAAGCCGATCATGTTGTAACTGTCATGTTGTATTTCACATTTGCTTTCATTGATTCTCTTTTCATTTATGTCATTGTACTCCATTGATAGCAGCATGCTGCCTCTCATTTAATATCACAATAGTATTTCAGCAGTTTTGTTAGGATGTCTTTTATATTTTGAAGCATAGAGGCACAAGCTAGTGGGGTGGTTCTAACAGGCTTTTGAAGTCACTCACCTATCACAAATTGATACTAATTAGTTTTCAAGTTTTACAGGATTGTTCAAATATGTTTCAGTTTTTGTGTGCTATAAAGTTATTTACAGAACTAATATATAAGGCAATTTCAGTGTACTCCAAAAAATCTGTTAATAAAGAATAAGATTAGGTAAGTATGGTATGATCTGACTTCTGGGCACTTCTCAATAATCTGTTTTTTTTATTCTGCTCAGACATAAGTCTATTTATGTAGGTAAAGTTTTAAACTAGATGTAACTGCATTTCAGTAAATCAGTATGTGCTAAAATAGAGTAGAAATTCATATGAAGAAAAGAAGGCCAATTGAATATTTAGATTTCAATATAGTAATGCCAGGCTTTGAAATTTAATGTGAATTTCCCTTTTTTCGTTTTTTCTTCTGCCCCCCCCTCCCCCAGTCTCTTCTGTAGTCATATTTTTCCAGTGTTTTCTTTGCTGGTCACGTACTGTATCAAATTATCATGTAAGCAAATTAAGTGAAATGTATTGATCTGCCAATAGACTTAAGAACTGGGAAACTGTAATATGTCTTGGTAATGTTAATGCATTTTTAGTTTATTAAAATATAAGCTGTTTTAAATTAAAAACAATAAATGCATCGGTTGAAAGAGGAGGGAAATAAGATCTGTAATTCATGGCACACTAGATTAAATCGAAAGGAGGGAAGGAGAAGTTTGCCAACTGTTTATAGTTTTACAGACAGGTATGGGTACAGGGACGGCTCTTAGGGTTGCATGTAGAGCAGGGCTTCCCCACCTTCACAGGTGATGGTAAGGCCTGGGGCAACTACACATGTGCATAGGTGGTTTATGTTCTCTTTCCTTGACCATGATGCCCGTCAGTGGAGGGAGTGCACCAGAGGATGCTGTATAGTTTGGGAACTGAGACTACAGCCATCCTTCAGGATTGGGAACAATTTACATAGTATACACTCTCTCTAGGTTCAAAAATAATCTTGCGTTCTCCTTGTTATATGTGAAAGATGAACTCAGGGATTGTTTGCTCCAGCCATTTTGTGTGTCGATGACATGAGCAGGGCTATGTAACTTAGAAAAACAACTCCTTAAAAGGAGAAAAATGTGAATCGAGTCTGTGATAGGCTAACTGGTTGTGAAAGAATGTGCGCCCTAAAGTACCAAACCAATGGGAAAAGGGGACAGATCTTGGGCAATTGGGAGAAGGTATAATTACTTGAAGTTTTATAACTAAGTGTGCTCTTTTTGAGATGCACTTTTCTTGAATAAATTTTTATCTTTGCTTCAAAGACTTTGTCCTCTTTACATTTTTATCCATGAGCGAGTGTTTCTCACATTATAGAAGTTCTTTTGTCTTTCCATGGCATTATTTTCCTTCATCTGATGGGATTAGTTTACTGATCTATGTACTCTGTTGAAATGGGACTAAATAGCCCTGAAAGCCAAAGTTTCTTATTTTGCATGGGAGAAGCATGGTACTGATGTAACTGAAACCTTCAGCTGTTGTCAGCTCTTCAGGGAAGATGTGATTCCTGTGTGAAGCTTTTTGAAATGATTTTTGTTAATTCTTGGCAGTAAAGCCAAGACACAATTGATGTCTGTCTGAAGTGAGTATAACTTAATTACGAGGAAAATAAAACCAAGTTACATCTTTTCTAAATATCTTCCCCACGTCTGGGTTTCCCAGAGCATTCTGTCTTTCTGCTACTTGGAATGAAAATCTTTCAGGGGTGGGGCTGTTTTTCTGCAGTGACATTGCCAGACACACTGGTAGTACCAGTAAAGAAAGACTAGAAATATACAGACTAGTAGGGTTACTGCAGCACGCTGGTAAAATAAATACCCAGCAAGAATAAATGGCAGAGCTACAAACTTACTGCCATTCGCACTTCCTATGCTATTTTGAGTCTGAGCAACTTTTGAGCACAGTACCTGCAGAGATGATTATTTTTCTTCTAGGAGATATGAAACAAAGTACAGATGACCCACATCTGAAAATTACTGAGATCAGTTTGCTCATACACTTTGGAAATGAGAGCTAGCAGGTTTTTCTACTTGTAAAAGTACCACTTTTCTCTGATCTGCGAGATACTTCGCTGTGATTCAGAGTTGATCAGGGTAATATTGGGTGTGTTTGACAGCCACATGAAAAACCCCTACTTTCTCTCAAAAGCTATGCAGTAATTCTGTTAATCTGGAATTCAGTTTTAATTACTGAGCTGGCTGCAGTGACAATGCTGTGCTGGGTGATGTGTGGAGATGAAATACGTGTACTTAAAAGATTTGTAAAACAAAATGCCTCCCTTTAGTATATCGTAAATACAGCTGTGGGTAATGGTTCTGCTCTTATACCTTTTGAAAACCTTTTGTTAGCTTCCCTTTCTCTAGTTCATTAACTTGCAGCTATTGAAATTAGAAGTCTTCACAGTAATGGCTTTCCTAATAATTAATTGATTGGTTTGGTCTTTCTTTGATTAGTTAGTTATTTGGTGGTTATTTAGTTTTGTTTAATTTATTTCATAGTGACTGATGTGCATCCAGTTTGAAGTCTTGGTGTATTTGTGCATGATGGACTCCTACAGAAGCCTATTGTCTATTTCCCAGTGCTCTAAAAGGAAAATTTAATAGCGTAACTAGGTTCTCCTGTTGATCTGCTGAGGGAGTACAGTACTACTGGCAAATATTGTAAATATGTCTTATAGAAGATACTGTAATGGTATTTCATCTGCATCCCCATCCTTGTTTTTAATTTCATGAACCGAACAATTTTGCCTTCAGCCATCTGTTAGTGATGCATATTTGGAATCTGAAATTACTGTGGCACAGAAACATGACAGGGCTAAAATGACCTTTTTGCACTCCCGCAGGGAAGAGACAAACCCCAGAATATCTGATTTCCAGTCTTGTGCCTTCAACAGCAGGAACAGCTTTTTTCTTTTGCCTAAGAGACAAATCAAATTCTTTAGTAAGCACAGCCTTACCTTATGAAAGAAGGCTAGTAAGACTAGGCACTGCTTACAGGCAGTGTGGGGGAAAAGACAGTCTACTTTCATACAGATGCTATCGTAGATCCATCTGCCTTTGAGTATGGACAGTTTTTAATGCTTGTAAGTACTCTTTACTTCTCCCACATAAGCATGAGTGGTATGCGTGCTTATCCGTATATACATCAGAACAAATTATTTTCCTTGAAGTCTTAACAAGAACATTGTAAGTTACAGAAACTGTTCTTATCTTGCATTTTGTTCCCCCTTTTCTCCCTCTGAGCTCTTACAGATTAAAGTGAAAGTATCTTTACCTGCAAAGGTTGTTTATTGTCGCTACACCTAAAAAATCCTGTCTAAAGAGCCATATGCTTATTTGCAGGTGATTTGTCTATAACTTGAGTATTTCTGGGGCTGAGTTTTCCACTTTGAGCTGATGTGTTAAAGGAATTATTTTGTTTTTGTTGTTTGTTTGTTTTTTTTTAATAGGTAAAGATAGAGTTTTCAACACCCCCTTGTGTGAACAAGGAATTGTTGGTTTTGGTATTGGAGTTGCTGTTGCAGGTGCTACAGCCATTGCTGAAATTCAGTTTGCAGATTACATTTTTCCAGCATTTGATCAGGTCAGTACTAATAAATTTGAGAGAAGTAAAAAGAAATCTTGTTACCATTTAAATTACTCTTCTATTAGCCTTAATACTTGGTTTGAGTATGTAATTTTTGCAAATACATCCAAAGCTGTATTACTAATATTTATGCATGCTTTAAGTAAACAGGAAAGTACCAAGGCCAGTTTGAAGGCTCATTAAATAATGGAAATTAAAGATGTGGTTTGAAGCAAATGTCTCTTTGTTTGTTTTTATTTTTTGGTTTTGTGGCTGTGTTGGCTTCAGCAGCCTTAAATTCCTCAGCTGTGTCTTCCCAACACCATCTCTCCCTTCCCTACGCTGCTGCAGCCAGCCATGTGTCCACAGGACAAGCTACAGATTTGAACTGGGCTGATTGACAGGATGAGAACGGGGAAACTGAGTTATATGGTTACTCCTGAGGCCTACGTGTCTAATTTGAACACACTAAACTATTGCCTTATTTGCCTTGGAAAGTGTTTGCCTTTCCACTGACTTACAGGATTCCTTTGCTCCTAATTTGGGCCTCTGAATGCCGTGCACGGTGCAGATGTAGTTACATCTTATGTATTGTAGAGGCTTAATGACACATAACTAAAGGTATTGGACTGAATGTTACTTTTGTGTATAAATCTTCCCAGATTGTTAACGAAGCAGCAAAATATCGTTACCGCTCTGGAGATCTGTTTAATTGTGGAAACCTCACCATCAGAGCCCCCTGGGGATGTGTGGGTCATGGTGCACTGTATCACTCTCAAAGTCCAGAAGCTTTCTTTGCTCACTGTCCAGGAATAAAGGTACAGTAACTCTTATTTTATGAAGATTAATTTTTTGTTTGGTTTTTTTTTTGTTTGCTTGTTTGTTCGTTAATGAACCTGACTCACAATGAGTCTGAGAGCAGGCAGGGGGGAAGAACAGAAGTCAAAAGTCCACAACAAGAAATCTGAATATGTTAATTAAAAGCTCTTTTAGAAGTTTTCAAGTTATAAAAGTTAAACTGTGTTAAGTGTTGGAGAATTCATAGCCATTATTGAAGCAAACTTTAGTAGATACAGCATTTTGTATTTATTTTATACCTGTTCTGTGTCCAGTATAGTACAGAAATGAAATACTAACACTAATAAGTAGTACTATACTTTTTCTTTTCTTTCTTCATCTGTCTGCTTAAGTGCATTATCGAATTCATTGATATGAATGACAGTGGCAGGCACTGAGCACAAACTGAAACACAAGAGGTTCTGTCTGAACATAAGGAAGCACTTGGCACAGGTTTGCCCAGAGAGGCCGTGGAACCTCCATCCTTGGAGGTATTCAGAAGTTGTCTGCACATGGTTGTGGGCAACCAGCTCTAGGTGGCTCTGCTTGAGCAGGCGGCTGGGCCAGATGACCTCTGGAGGTCCCTGCAACCTCAACTGTTCTGTGATTCTGCGAATGATAACTTTAAGCAAGCTTTCTGCATGATACAGTGACATCCCTTGAAGCTAAGATTCCTAGCATTTAGATGGATAACTTTCTTGAAGAAGAGGGAGGGGAGGGATCTAGTCATCTCAGGTTAATAAAACCTTGTTTGTCAGCTCTACATTGTTTCCTGAGTAAACTTTTGTCTGTGGACTTGTACTTCTGGTTCAACTGGCATCCAGTCTATTGAGAAATGACTCATGGATTGATTAATGTGGAGGACTTAAGCAAAACCAGTATTTGTATGCTGAAGACACATGTTCATTGTTTATCTCATGTTTAAACTATTGTCTATGTATGATTTTGGTGTTCTAAAGCTTCAGATTTACTCATTTGCAGGGAGATCACAGCCATTTCTGCTACTTGTTTCTTTTTACTTAAATAAAAAATGTTGTATTATTCATACTTTCGCTCATGATATTTGAGAAATGGAATGCATCTTTATCTTTGGGTGTTCTTTATGATCTTTGAGGTGTTCCTATTCTGAACTTGAAAATATTTCCTGATACAGACAAAAGCAATCTTCAAAGTCTTTTTCCAGGTAATTGAATTAAATGGTTTCTTGAGCTTGTTGAAAAACTCGAGTAGTTTATTGTCATATGGAAGCACAAGATAACTTACATGATTAAGATACAGATGCCAGGTCTAGCTAATCTATGCTGATCTTCTTGGTCAATCTCAAATCTTTGTGTTGAAGCAAGAGCTGAGATTTAGTGGTTCACTGATTAAAACTCTTACTGATTCATAGCAACCTAGTACTTCTGTCCTTAGTCGTCTAAGTAAGTAAGTCAGATTTTTTTTATCACTCCAGATAATTTAATTTCTTTTCTCTCATCTCTGGTCGTCTTGTTGTTTTTCTTGTTTGTTTCACTTTTCTTTGGGTAAAGTGCTAAAATAGATTGCTACCACTAACAGCTGTCATCTCAGGTAAGGGTAAAAGGTAAATTAAATTCTGTGAAACTGATGGAAAAGTATACTAGTCTTTGATGCACAGGGAAGTATTTTAGATATATCTTTTGAATTTTGTATCTTTGTGAAAACAATGTCGTTCCTTGAATATTTTTTGCAAAGCTGCTCATTGATGCTGTTAGTAGTGTTTAAGGCTTTATCTTTAAGGTTGCAGTCTTTTTTTGAATGAATCCAAACCCAGCCCTTAATGTATGAATTCAGAAATGAAAATGAACTTGTAGTTCAGACATCAAAAGTCCCATATCTATGCATATTTTCTCCAAATTACAGGAGGAAGGGCCATGTATTACAAGCTGGGAGGGGTAGGATTGGTCTTTGGAGAGAAGGGTTTTCAAAACTATCCCCTTATTAAACTCTGGCAGGTTCATGACTTGAGATTTCTATTTTGTGTTTTTCTTAAGTGAAAGGTGAGGTTTGGCTTTCCCAAGCAGAAGGGAGTTTGCACAACTTCATCTGTTTGGGGGAAGGACTGGAATCATGACTGCTTAATACAAGGCTTGTTGGGGTGACAAGGACATTGCTAAATGGTTGTATCTTTTGTCTACTGTTGTGAGGATGTATGTCTTAATGGATTAATCTGTCTTCCAAAATTACTGTATTGACTCTCTCCATTCCATTGTAAGACTGCTCCAGAATATTTGCCATCACGGTTAGAAGCTTTCTTTTCATTTCCAGCCTAAATTTGTTCCTGACTAACTTGTATATTTAACTTGTCTGTCTTGTCATCTTCCCTTTCATATACTAAGAGAACAATTGTTTTCTCTTTAGTCTTTGTTTTGTTAGACTAAACAAATCAAATTATCAAAGAGATGTTAACAGTTTCTGAAGCTCTTTTGGCACCTGTTTCATTAATTTTCTTTCAGAACAGTTGATAATAGTCATGAAGTATTCCAACTGAGTTTCTAGCATTGATTTTTGCAATAGCACTAAACACTGCCTTGACTATATTATTATGCTTTTTTAGGGCTGGACTGCATAGTGTCCTAGTCATCCTTTGAACAGATAATAAATTCAGATCTGAATTTCTACTGCCAAGTTCTAAATTTATGACAAAAATGTAGTCCTTAAATGGGTGACTTTTCAGTATGTATTGCTCAGTTTGCTTTTGCGTTTGTAATTATGTCCTCAATGTGAACTAGGTTTTTTTGCTATCATCCTCTGTACGGGTAGTGACTCTCAGCGTTTGAATAGTTTTCATTACCATGTTCTGACTTAACATTGTAAATGAAGAAGGTAAACAAAGCCTGTCCTAAAAATGATCCCTAAGGAGCTGCACTAGTAACATCAATCAGTTGGGTAATTTCCCATGAGTTTGTTATAAATGCTTTAGTGAAATATTAATAGACTATTTCTCCCTAGTTTAGAAAAATCACTTATCAAGTTAATTTGATGTGCTAACAGATTTAGGTTGTGTTTTGACTCTTTTCTATTACTTTTGTATAATTAAATATTATTAATAATTAAACTCTCAAAAAATATTTTGAAGCCTTGGAAACTCCTGGAAGACAGTAAGTTAACATGTCTGTAATTACATGGGAATTTTTTTTTTTTTAAACGAGTGCTACAACTAATGTTTTCAGTCAGAAGGTGCCACTTCTAAGTTCACAGCTATAAAAATGTTTGCTAATAGACTTCATGTTGCATGTGCCAGCTCTTTGAGATCTCTGGGATGTAAATTAGCTGATCCTTCTGATTTGAGGAAATTGAGCTCTTGGGTTCTATTTTCATTTAAACTGTGATAATGTGGTAACTTTCTGTTAATAATCAACAATCTCTTAGATCATCCAAAATTAACTCTTCTGTTGGCAAATCAATTATACCTTTTCCTTCCAAGTATTCAGATTGCATCTGGAGGCCTTGCTTAGTTTCTCTTTGCTTGATAATAGTTTCCGGTATTTTTTGGTATTTGTTCATTTCCAGAATGAACAAATGCCAGGCTTCCACCATAAGCAAAGGAAATCATCTTTAAATAGCTATTTTCTTTTTTAGTCTTCAAAACTTACTGGACTGTCTGCATACCTTCCAGGCTTACTCTGGTGAATCTTTACCCAAGCAACTGAGGATCACTTAGCTGATTTTTTTTTTGTCATGCATCTACATTAATTTTACTAAACAAATGTTTGATTTTTTTTTTAACCTGACTGACTTTGTTCTATTCCTTCTACCTCAAAATGTTATTAAGATGCTAGTTCTACCTTATTGGAGCGGAGTCTATTAATATTTCAGTCATGGTGTAGAGAGGAAGTATTCAAATCTCATGAATGAACAAAATAAAATTCATTTGGAATGTGTGTTAGTAACAACACTGATGTTAATTCCCTTTATTAGAACTGCTCAATCTGTACACAGTTTTATTTAGAGCAAATAATTGCTTGGTTTTTAATATTAATTGAGGAAGCTTGTAGCAGAATTGCAGTTTAAATAAACTTTTTAAAAAATATTTTTGCAGATTGTTATTCCAAGGAGTCCTCTTCAGGCCAAAGGACTGCTGCTGTCATGCATAGAGGATAAAAATCCATGCATATTCTTTGAACCTAAAATACTTTACAGAGCTGCAGGTAAAAATATATATGTTGTATTTTCCAATAAAGCAAAAATTTTTTTTCCCCCCATATATTTTGATAGTCACAGCTAAACTGATACTGACTGTAGCAGAAGCCTTGACTTGGATTTGTTTTGTCTCTGGCTATGTTTGGGGGTTATGCTTTTAGAGGAATTGTGAAAACTGAATAAGATCTCTAAATTTGGCTGCAAAGATAGATGAACATTTACAGACTGATTCATACTTAGTTTACTTTGGAAGTGGAATGCTTTGTACAGTCTTGGGTTAAAAAAAAAAAGAAACAGAACTAAGAGGCATTATCCTTTATCAAATTGCAACATAAACCTGACAGAAGTTAAAGTGCTTTCTTTTTGATAACTCTAGATATTAAACTAAGTTTCCAGATCAGTTTTTATTTTTCCAAAAGTACTGAACATCACTATTTTCACAAAGTTAGAACTTCTTTGAAGTGCTTAATTTCTAAAAATCTTGAAAATCTGCCTCTTTAGTTTTTAGTCTTCTCTGGGAGGAAGTGTGATTGCTGTTACTTTTTTTGTTTGTTTTAGTCACAGTGAACTTTTTCGTTCATAGAAGTTTTAACAGCTATCATTATGCATAACATATAAGAACAGAGTAACTTGAAGATGATAGTGCTTGAGTTGATTGTAAAAATTAGCTTGTTACTTCTTTGGCCTAGAGAAACTGGACTGAGAACAGATAGTGGGTGAAAACAAGATTTTGCATGTGGAGACAGGCAGAGTGATTGGGTGAGAAACTGATACAATAGAACTGAAGCCATCACTTACCTTCAGTGTTTCTATGTCATATAGCTTTATATACCAACTATGCTTGAATCTTTCAGTCCAATTTACAAGTTGACTTTGTATGTGAACTGAAGTTGAGTGAAGGACAAAATGTTTGTATTTTACTTAGGACTTCTTAACAGCACTTTTCCATCAGTGCTTCCATTTTCCTCTTCCTCGAGGACAGAACTAAAGAGTAACAAGGGAAAGATTTGGAAAGTAGACCTCAAACTTACAAAAAAATAGCAGAATAACACAGGAACAAATGGGATATTTACTGGGGAAACTGCTTATTTGCTTTTATGTTTTCAAAAAAGAGCCAGAATTCCCATTAGCAATGTATTTTTAAAAGTTATGTGTATTTTTATTGTGGTGTGATGTACCCAAAGGGTGTTGCATTCCTTAAGTTCAGTGTGTTTTGAGAGCTTACTGAAATTTAGCAATAAATACCTCTGACTATTCATTTAGATGAAGCAGTTTGAAGAGTGAACTTGAATATTAGAGTCCTGTTAAACAAAAAAAAAAAAAGGAAGTTTAAAATTCCTGTGTCAATACTTGCTTTCCTAGTGGAATGAATGGCTATATATCAGTATCACACAGCTTTTGAGAATACAGGGAGGTTTTCGTGTTTGAGGAAATGACTTGTAAAGCAATTGCTGGATCGACTAGTGAACGTATAACAGCCTTGTGATTGAAATCTTGAGTAAAGGTGTGCTGAAATAGTGGTTCATGTGCTGATCAATAACGAATCATAGAGTTGCTGCAAGATGGTGTTGGTAGTTTCTGAAAGACTGTGATTTCCTCCTATATTCTGATGGCCTGATTTTCAGAGACATTACCTACATTTTTGTCTTAAAATTTCTAAGAAAATCAGTTCTCAAATTTATAATACATTGGTGTCAACCTGTGACAGGGATGATTGTGACAGGTAACTTCTTTCATTTTGAGTGGAATTTTTATTATTTTTACAATATAAAGCAGGAATATTTTATTATGTGGAAGAGTTTTGATGGTCCCTTTTTTCATTGAAAACCTTTCCCTCTGGCATGGTTAGTTTATCTGCTTAGCTGTTTAGCTGTCCTGTGTGGGTTGGGTCAGCTTGAACTGCAAGAAGAGTGGTGTCTGGGAGTTTCTCCTAGAAAATTAATCTTTCTTAGAGTCCCTTCTTATGCTGCTGGCCGTTGTCAGGGTTTCTTGAAATTCCACCACAGAAACTAAGTGGCCTGGTGAATTCAGGAACGGATCAAGGTCATCATGATTGTTTGGTCCAAGAGGCAGCAGCAGTAAGACACAAGCCTGATAAACATGAGCAAGATAAATGTTGGAAAGAAGGATTTTAAAAGTGCAATTGTCTTGTGTTTTGAGTAGAACAAATTTTTATAATATCCCATATGAGTGTGTTGATTCTACCAGGAGAAAGAAGATAGTATAGATTCAGAAATGCGCTTACACGGTGAGCTTGAACTATACAAGTATTTCTTGTTTCTTTCCATTAGTGTCTCAAAATACTACAGGGTCTTCCCAAGGCTGGGAACATGTAGGCTTTTCAAAACAAGGAGAAAAAATAGTATTGGATGTCCTCTGTTGCTTTATTTATCTCTCTCTTTTATTCTTTTTTTTTTGGGTGGCAAGGTGGGGGCAGTTATTGATTTCTACCAGAAACTTCCATTTTGACACTGATACATTTTTAGGAGAAAGACAGAATATTAATAGTATAATGTTGTATTAAAAACCCACCCAAGATTATTCCAGACAAAAAATAGTTTTATTTATTTCCACGATGATGGCTGAGGCATTGAATAATGAAATTATATTGCCCCTACCATAACATTTTTTTTGTTCTAGCTTCATGTGAATAGACATGTTTGTTGCAGAGAATTTAATGACTGATGTTACAGAGTGTGTGTAGGGACTTCATTGAAAAATTAAGGTGTCAAGGACGATAATGGGAAGTAGTATTTTCTATCTGTAAAATTAATGTAGGCATTTGAGCTTCATCATTCTCCTGTAATGGAATTTTCTTTCTCCCTATGAGGTCTCTGAATAGCTATCCATGATATTTTGTTCAGACTTGTTAATATCTTTGAAATTTCAGCTGAAAATAGGGGGTAGACGGGATAGTCTTTAAAACACAGGATATCTGTCCTTGTTTGTGTGGTTTGAAGCTACTAATGCTCTATTTAAAACAAACAACAAAAAACCAAACCAACCAAAAAACACAAAACCCCAACTGATTAGACCCTAACCAAACAAAAAACTATGCTCTCTGCTTCTGCCCCCAAGTGTTGCTAGTGTTGAAATGAACTGTTCGAGGCTAGTGATGGATGATAATATATATCTAGCTTAGGATGTATAACCTGAAGTTGCTTTTTGAGAATGTTAAGCAGGGTGCTAGGTCATTGCCATTTTATGGAAGCTCTTGTGCAGAACCAACCTTGTGATTTTGCATCAGATGCGTACCTCCAAGGAGTTATTTAGACCCACCAATTGCTTTCAAAGAGGTGGTTTTTATTTTTTTTTGCTTGTTGATGACAAGACAGGTTTTTCAAGATTAAAGCATAGATATTTTTTTTTTCTGTAACAGTAAAGACATTGTACAGAAAAAAAAAAAAGAATGTTTGTGTTTTGAAACCTAAGTCTGGTCTCCAAGGTAAATCAGAGCTGTAGCACAAAACATTTCAGTGTGACTATCATGTGGATATTGTGATTGCTTGCTATTTTTTTTGAATAATGAATTTAGCTGGATATCTTAAATGAACAGATTTGCTTATTCAAATGTTGTATGCTTATTCAGACACGAGGTAAGACTAACCATGTTATTAAATGAACATGAATTTCTATATGAACATTTGCTATCCAAACACGCCTTTGCGCTCACAAGATAGAAGAATAAAATTAGGCCTTAAATCTTCACCTTAATCAGGTGGATATCGACGTAGCATTGCCTTAAGTTTACCACATTCACACTGTCATGAACAGAGGAGGAAAGGCAACTTCCAAAATGATGAACAGCTTTGCAAGAACATTTTGAAAACATTTTCAAGTTTGTTGAAAAAATAACTCACACCTTAGATACCCGAGAGCCCTAGTAATACCAAAAGGAGGGAGTGGACTTAAAGCTAAGATCTTAAACTTTGCCTGGATGTCTGTTAATAGTAAGTTTTAAAAGTTACAGAAGAGAACTATGTGTTTTGCTTGAATGAGGTACAGTTGATAATTTCATATTCTGCATTAGCTCTGATGTGCAACCAAGTTGAAATAGTCCCTCTATACAGACGTATGTGTTTATGTGTAGGTACATACTACATGTTATCTATGTGCATATATATGTTTATATAGATATATATGTATGTAAGGCATATCATAAAGCAGTACCTAGATCAGAAAAGAAGAACTATACTTAGCATGTGTAGTTGTAGCTGGTAATTGCAAATTTCTTTTTCCCATACTCTGAAGCTGTACAGCGCTGTGTCTGTGGCTAAGCCCGCAGGCAGGACTGCCTATTTCTCTCGCACAGTCACCCCCTATGGAGTGCTCACCCTTACTCTTTCTTTCCTTTCTTGGATGGTTATGGCAGTGCTTGATTGTATGTCTGTGGAGTGGGGAATGGCTATGTTTCTCCCCCTGGACAGATCTTTTCTCTTGAGTGGAGGATCTTAGCTAGTCTAGCAGCCCTGCATGTTCCCACAGGAGACAGAACAGCCTTTTATATGCCTCACTCCAGTCCCTCCTGATAGCTGCTGTTTGGGACACATGCTTTTCCCACCCCAGCAGCTGGTGGGCAAGACCCCCCACTTGCTCCTGTAGCTCACACCACAGGCCCAGGGCATCTGCACCCTGGTTTGACTCCTGCTGCTGGCCCAGTGTCTTGTCTGCTCATGCAGGTCTCACCAGCACCTGGCACTTAGTCCTTCCAACACACACCCCTGCACAGGGTAGGATTTCAAAAGGAGGATTGACCACCATGATGAGGCGCAGGGCTCAGTCAGTCAAACATGCTGACCTGTTTTATGTTCAGCCCTTCTGTACCCCTTCCTGTTCCCCACCTTGTTCCTTCCCAGCCCCCTGCACCTTCACATGCCCTTATCAGCTGGTGTAGTTCCACACACCCCACACACTCGCCCCTCGCCCAATACCCTGGAGGCTCAGGGTTTTGTGCTTATCAGTTGCAAAGTCCTGGTTTGCCCATAGTTTCCTGGTAGCCCTTCATTCAGTGTTCCTGACCAGGTTTGTTTCTTGTCTTTGTCTGTGTTATGTTTGTCTTCAGGTTTGTGTCTCTGTATATTTTCTTTATCCTCCATCAGATAATCTTACTCAAAGAAACACTGCCACATTCCCCATACCCTTATCAATACGTGGGACTGAGCAGGTTTGGTTCTTGTTCGCGCTTCCCTCGCCGTTTGTTGGTTTGGTTTGTGTCCCTGTTCTTCCTTATGGCTTCTCCTTCTTCCTATTAGCCCCATTTGCAACGGAAAGATCCTTGTCCAGACACTCTTAAGGGAGCAGATGCTCCCTCCTTCCATGTAACCTTACAGTGGTCATCAGAAGTTTTATGTATGTTAATTTGCCTTGTCTAAAATTAGAAAGAAGCAAAGAAATGTAAGCCTTTCTGGATAGAAGTCCAGAGTTAAATATACAAGTACGCATATATAGAGAGAATTCTGTTGCTGGTTATCTTATGAGATTATGTTATTATTGAAAGTGCCGTGGTGACGTCCCCCTAAATGTCAGAGATACTAAGAAAATATCTGAATTAAAAAGGAAAAGGAGGCTTTGATTTATAAAAAGGAGCTAACAGCCTGCGTAGTGTCAAGAGAACATAATGATTATGAATCAAAGGATAAGATGAGTCACCTTGACATTATCAGGTTTAGACATCTTGTGGAGAACCTACTCTGATGTTTTTTGACCTTTTCAGTTTCACTTAATTGTACTATATATGACACTGGTGGTGTAGAAATAAATACGACTTGCATCAGTGGTTGTTATAGAGACAAGCCAGGTAAAATGAGAAAACGTGTCTTCTTTCTGCTGTTCAGACTGCTCTTTTAGAAAAAGCAACAGATGGTGCATCCTTTTAAAATTAACTTCTGATGGCCTTTTTACTCTGATAATTACAAGTTTTTGTTAATTGCTTTGTTTGAAATATGTGATTTACAATATTTTATTTATATCGTCAGTAATAGATGAATGGGCTGCTTTGTATATAAACATTGTTGTCCTGGTTTGGTTGATTATTATGGAAGAATATGCATAGAATAATTTCATATGCTGCTTTTCATTATTGTTAGTGGAAGGAGTAGTTTTTGTAAAGGCATTTGAATAAAATCCTGCCAAATCTGGACTTCCCTATAAATTTTTGACAAGCTGAATTTTGCATTTTAAAGTGTCAGGAAGTCTAGATGACCTCGTCCATTGGACATTTTGTTGCAGAATGGTTTAGCTATTATAAGAAATCAGTTACTTTGTGTAATTGTGTGTTATATTTAATTTCCCTAAGTGGATAAAAACATTACACTGAGAAGAAGCTCTTTTTGTATCATGTACACCTTCCAGTTCTTCCTCTGGTGCATCCTACTGTCACTTCAAAACCATCTCATTCATGTCAGTTGCCTGGGTTTCCACTCAAAGGTCTGGTGGCATCTTTATAACGTTCTTGTTCTCCAAGGTTCATGTAGGTGACCATTCCATGAAAAAGACAGTTATGCAATGCCAGTTACTATAATTGTGGGTTTCATTATCTTTCAGGTTCTCTACTTTCTTTTGCCTGAGGGATTTACAATGTGCAAAATCCATAGAAACTTGGTCTGCTTTACTGTGAACCAGTAAAGTGCAGTGAGCAAAGGCTGGATGGGCCTTTTACCTATTTCTTTCCCCACCTGATATTCCTTTAGCCAATTGTTATTCAAAGAAATTGTCACAGGAAGACTCTGATATTTTAATACATTAAAAATAATAGTTTGCAAAAAGATCTGATTTTTGTGCTGTGTTTAAAACCACTTTGTGTTTAAAATTCTTTTTTTTTTCTTTTTTCCTTGATTGGATGGACATGTGTTCTTGAGTTATGCTGAAAAAAACCTTCCTGTTCTTCTTTTAGAAAGAATGATTTAGTTACTATGTATGTCTCCTCTGTGCCTGTTCAGGTGAAGTGAGATATCTCTAACATAAGCGTAGGCAAAAACTGTTTTACTGTGAGGGTGATCAAACACAGGAACAGGCTGCCCAGAGAGGTGGTGGAGTCTCTGGCCATGGAAATACTCAAAACCTGACTGGACATGGCCCTGAATGACTTGCTCTAGGTGACGTTGCGCTGAGCAGTGGGCTTGGACTAGGTGATCTCCAGAAGTCACTTCCTACCTCAGCCATTCTGTGACATTTGTAGTATTTGTATATTGTTAGTGGCAAAAATCATCTGCTGTAACTTAAAAAAAAAAGACATAAATCACTCCTTGATTTATTGAAAAGTTGGGTTTATAACTTGTAAGCCAGGAAAAAACCTGGGTCATTCTACTTGTATTTGATCTGCCATACTAATGAAGGAAAACTATGAAACACTTAATTTCTCCTGCTGGTATCACTCAGTAGGATTTTTTATCGTAACTTCAAGAAGCAGTT